AACAACCTAAAAAACCCAAAAATCAATAAAAACTATTCAATAACAAAACATCAAAACTCATTTTTACCAATTACAACTCAAATCTACATATCTAATTAATTAATACATATATTACCCTTCATAAAGCTATCACAAATGCATATAAAAAGACCTCATACCTATCCTCCATATAGTACTCACTAGACTCTCATAACAAAAACACCCAAAAATCGCTTATTTTGTACTTTTAGTATATTTTAATTAGTTCTAAAAAATTTATCACCCAATTTCATTATAGTGGGTTAATCTCATTTTTATAGAGGAGAAAAATTTAGTTGTTTTTTAAGATTTAATATTGTGGATATGAATGATTTACTTTTATTCATCTATTCCTTCAATTTTTACAATCAGTTTGCTTTTTATTTATTCTGAATTATGAATAATTTATTAATTTAATTGTTACATAGTTTTAAAAGTCTTAAGGGATATTATTTTTGGTATAGATATTAATTAATTTCGTGAAAATGCTCTTGAAGTTAAAAATGGTTATACATAATCCCAGTGATTAATAAATGTTTATTATTTGATGTATGTAAAAATTCAAGTAGTTCTTTAAGTTAATCAGTAATAAATATTCTTAGATGGTTGTTAGGGAAAATATAATTAGTATCTCCTTAAATCTTAATCCATTTACGGGATATAATACTTCTTGATATTTAATATATCTTTATAGTTGTTTTACTTTTCATATCAATTGAAGAGATTATGAAGATATTAGCAAGAATAGAGTAGAGTAATTGGAAAAATCATTTATTTTTGAATTCTTGAAGTATCTTTTTATTATCTTATTGATAAATATATCTTTACTATTTATGAACTAATATTACAAAATTATTAGTAATATTATTTAAGACTAATCCCGTTAATTAATTGTAATAAATTACGTAAATCTATCTTATAATATCCTAGATTTTTAATTGATAATAGCGTTTATAATATTTCAATAAATAATCTCTATATATAACAGAAATGGATCAAAACTTTGTAAAATAAGAACTTACATAGCTTTAGAACTTAAGATTAAGAGTGAAACTTATAAAGACAGAATTTAAAATTAATATTAGATATTGATTGTAATTATAATTGTTGTTTGGTAAAATATCAAATTCATTTTTGCTTTAAGCCTTCAAAAAAGCAACTTCCTTTAAACTTGAATAAAGGTTTTAATTCTATTCCTTTTTGCTTTATAAAATCTCCTAGTGTACCTTATGCTTCTAAGAAAGGATTCAAACAAATTCTAAGTATTGTCTCAACTAAATAATAATAAATAAAAAATACCATTTGGTAATAATTAACTATTTTAAAGTGGTATTTTAAATTATGCAAAAATATCTTTGTAGTTTTTATCAGAGGATTTAATTTCTTATGCTGTCTTGACATCCCATAGACGGATAGACTTATCATCACTACCAGAAGCTAATGTATTTCCATCAGGAGAGAAACAGAAGACCAGACAGTTCCACTATGACCATCCAGTTTATTCAATTCATGGACTTTAATGTTTTTCCATTTACAATTGAACATTTAAGCTCCATTAAAATTGACTCCTCTAATATCCACAATTCTGATCCATTCAAATTACACCTTACAAAGTTTCCTCCAATCAAAGAAGTATTCTTTATTCTGATATTCTCAAAGGATTGGTTTCTGACATCTACCTTCATTATTACCAATATATGAAGTGAATTGGATCCACATTAGATGAACTGATCATCTATACTTGTAAATTGGACTAAAAATTTCAATAAATCCATTATGCTCTTATCATCTTACAACTTCTTAATCAGATCCTTTTTAATCTCTTCAAATGCTTCTGAGGAATAGTCTTTCAAATTGAATTCATGATCTTTTAAGTTCTTCAGGATATTAATTATCCTTTTAATTTACTCCTTCTCCTTTTGATCCTAATATTTAAATGATTAGAGATATGCCACCCAATCTTTGATTTCATCCTTCTTGAGTATATCTAAAAGTTTCTTGTATATTGATGATGAGTCATCATCATCAATAATAATATAATTAGCATTGGCTAAAATTTATAAGAGATCCTCCTATCTCTCAAATACCTCCTGCTCTTCTTGTACTACTTCCACCTTCTATTATTACACACGTCTATAAAAATATTAATTAAAAACTTCTTTTTTACCTAAATGATTTGATCTCATCAGGAGTGATATCGATGATCAGATCTATTTTTAATTGAGGAGCATCTGGTAATTTTACAAGTTCGGTACTTATTCTTTGGTCCTTCTTCTATTCAGGAACTGGCTTTAAACAAATTTAATTGTAAATGGAGTCAATGGCTCCATTGACTCTATCGTATGATTCCTAAGATGTTAAAAAAGAAATTTGTTTACATCCATAAATCGATCAAAGGTTTCGATGCACTGTTGAGTCAAAGTTCTCACTTGTTCTGTATAGTGTTCTACAGATTGCATTTAGGGAAATAAAATTAAAAGATATTTAAATTAATGATTTATATTTCTATTAAATTAATACTTAAGTATTAATAAATTAGTATTATTAGTGTTTTTGGAGATATATTAGAGAGATATTATAGATATATTAGAGAGTAATTATAGATATTAGTATTAGTATGTATATTAGTATATTAATATATATAAATATATATAGATTTATATGATTTTTAGTATTTGTATTAGTTTTTAAGTAAATAATCTTAATAGATAGTATATCTATAAGAAAAATTTCATGAAAATATGATTTTTGTGAAAATGATTTCTATCATTACGTACGAGATGCATAATTTATAATCAAGTATCTATTGCAAAAATTAGGAATAGTTTAGTAAGAAAGAATTGTAAAAATTTTTTGTACCCTAGCTATGGTATGGCATAAGTTACAAATTAGATTCGTGATGGTTTCAACGAGTGGGTGCTTTTTATTTGGCATAATTATAATTATGAGGTGCGTGGTGGTGTATGCTCTCCTATTAATGTTAATTAGTAGGATATAATTATGATGACTCTGGAAATTAAAAGCATGTAATACATAGATAATGGGGAAATAGATGATATTAATCATTGGGTATAACTTTACAATAATAAATTAGATTTAATAACTTTAAAAGAAGAAGAATAAGGGGTTATTATTTGAAAAACTCGTTTTTATGCTTATAAATTGCCTTTTTGGACAAACTTAGAATGGTATTATTATACCCATCTTCATTACTTCATGAAAAATGGTTGTTATGAAAGGAATTACTCTGCTTGAGCCTTATTATCTTTATTCTAATGAATGATGGTTTTGTATCAAAAATTTTTAAAGAATTTTTTTATTATAATTGATAATGATTCACCATCTATGAAAGAATTCACTATACAAACATTCTTAGAATAAGATTCTCTTTTTCGATTTTTCGATTTGTAACTCCTGCGTATTATTTAATACTTATTGATTTTATAAAGTTTTGATTATGTTCTCTAAACAATTGAAATTTATTTTTATAATTGAATTTCTACTCTATGATCTTTTTTTTAAAACTTATATGCCTTTTTATTATTCTTATTCTAAATCATTAAATTTTTAATTGACCCTCTTCATAAATTTATAATTTAAATTCTTTCTCTTTCTTATTAATTTTTTTTTGAAATACTTTAAACAATTTAACAGTTTAGCTCAAATAATCCATTAATAGTAGCAAATAATTAGAGTATTAAATTTAACAACATTCCTAAAATTCTTTTTAACTTGACTTGAGTTATAAAATCTGTCAAATATGCTTTGTTATCTGAATTTTTAATGCTATTTAATGGTTCAATAATAGCAATATTTTATTAGACTTCAACATTTTATAGATTATTAATTATATAACTCTTTAATTGATATTAATTATCTATAAAAGAACTGAAAAAAGATCAGTTTAAAAAAAAATAAATTTACCTTTAGTAAGTGAATTGCGTTTATTAGCAAACGCATATTGTTTTTATAAAATTTAATAAATATTGGATTAGTTTCAAATTCTATTAAAAATAAAAAAGCAGTGAAGATAATAATCACAATCAATCTTAATGTGTATATTAAATTGAGGAATAATTACTTATTATTTAATGCCGTCAGTAAAATTTGTAATATATAGAGATTGGATAATTTTTCAAAAAATTAGCATAATAAAATAAACTCAAAAATTAAATATTGTAAACAGGTAAATTTGGAATTCACTCTTGGGTAGCTCCAGAGAGAAAATGACTTATAAAATCTTGTATACTTTCAATGATTAAAATGAATTATTTTTAACATACATGGACAAGGAGAGTGATTGATCAAACAATGTTTGATCTTGATTACAAGAGTTTTTTATTATTGATTAGGCTTCGACATATCCTTAAACGCTGCAAAAATGAATCTAATACTAAGAAGAATCAACTCAGAATGTTTAACAGAAAGCATCAATATTTTAAAAATNCCCAACCCCAACCCCAAACCCAACCCCAACCCCAACCCCAACCCCAACCCCAAAACCAACCCCAAACCCAAACCCTACCTGGGTTTGGCAACCCCCTAATAACCCCTGCTTCTTTTGTAAAAGAAGCTATAATTTTACCTCGCTTCGCTCGCATCATCCCCCACCTACCTGCCCTCCTCGCAAAGGCCAAAGGCCCCTTGGCGGAAAAATTTTTTTTTACAATTATTAGCTTTTATTTTTTTGGTACTCACGATACAATAATAAATTAGATTTAATAACTTTAAAAGAAGAAGAATAAGGGGTTATTATTTGAAAAACTCGTTTTTATGCTTATAAATTGCCTTTTTGGACAAACTTAGAATGGTATTATTATACCCATCTTCATTACTTCATGAAAAATGGTTGTTATGAAAGGAATTACTCTGCTTGAGCCTTATTATCTTTATTCTAATGAATGATGGTTTTGTATCAAAAATTTTTAAAGAATTTTTTTATTATAATTGATAATGATTCACCATCTATGAAAGAATTCACTATACAAACATTCTTAGAATAAGATTCTCTTTTTCGATTTTTCGATTTGTAACTCCTGCGTATTATTTAATACTTATTGATTTTATAAAGTTTTGATTATGTTCTCTAAACAATTGAAATTTATTTTTATAATTGAATTTCTACTCTATGATCTTTTTTTTAAAACTTATATGCCTTTTTATTATTCTTATTCTAAATCATTAAATTTTTAATTGACCCTCTTCATAAATTTATAATTTAAATTCTTTCTCTTTCTTATTAATTTTTTTTTGAAATACTTTAAACAATTTAACAGTTTAGCTCAAATAATCCATTAATAGTAGCAAATAATTAGAGTATTAAATTTAACAACATTCCTAAAATTCTTTTTAACTTGACTTGAGTTATAAAATCTGTCAAATATGCTTTGTTATCTGAATTTTTAATGCTATTTAATGGTTCAATAATAGCAATATTTTATTAGACTTCAACATTTTATAGATTATTAATTATATAACTCTTTAATTGATATTAATTATCTATAAAAGAACTGAAAAAAGATCAGTTTAAAAAAAAATAAATTTACCTTTAGTAAGTGAATTGCGTTTATTAGCAAACGCATATTGTTTTTATAAAATTTAATAAATATTGGATTAGTTTCAAATTCTATTAAAAATAAAAAAGCAGTGAAGATAATAATCACAATCAATCTTAATGTGTATATTAAATTGAGGAATAATTACTTATTATTTAATGCCGTCAGTAAAATTTGTAATATATAGAGATTGGATAATTTTTCAAAAAATTAGCATAATAAAATAAACTCAAAAATTAAATATTGTAAACAGGTAAATTTGGAATTCACTCTTGGGTAGCTCCAGAGAGAAAATGACTTATAAAATCTTGTATACTTTCAATGATTAAAATGAATTATTTTTAACATACATGGACAAGGAGAGTGATTGATCAAACAATGTTTGATCTTGATTACAAGAGTTTTTTATTATTGATTAGGCTTCGACATATCCTTAAACGCTGCAAAAATGAATCTAATACTAAGAAGAATCAACTCAGAATGTTTAACAGAAAGCATCAATATTTTAAAAATAAAAGTAAAGATGATGAGATTATGATTTATTATTCAATAAAAGAAGCTAATTTAGTATTTTGAATGAGATAAACTTTGTTATGGAGCGTTAAAATTTTGATAAACACAATAAGAATGATTAATGAGGTAGGTTTGTTAAATGAAAGTATTCTTGATGAAATCATTTAGAATGGATTTCTAGCAAATTAATTATGTCTTAGAATATAGAATAGTCCAAATCATAAAAGCAGCAAAGTAATTGGGATTTTTAGAGAGTATTTGGCATGATTTTCTGCTCCATTATCATCTCCATTAAACCCGACTGAAAGGCAACCATCATAATTAAATAGAAAAGGAAATATCGAAAGTGATTTTATTATTTATTGTAATCATTGTTTGATACAGAGATAAGAGTATATAAAAATATCAAAAAAATAACATATCTCTTTTATTGGCTTTTGTTGGATGGGTTTCACTAATAATTAATAAATGAATAGGATTAAAAATGGAGATATTTTTCCAAAAATATCGAAAACACTTTCGAAACAAAAGATATTTAAAATCAGAGTTAAAATTTATATTTTTCATTTATTCTAAATAAATTAAACCTTAATAAATTTTAAATAATAAGAATTTATAAATTTGAAACCTTCTAAATGTGTATTAAAAATTATCTTTTCAGTTTGGAAGATCATAATAAAATGAATCCTTTGGATAATTTTCAATTTTATTGGAAATGTTCCTGTACATCTAAACATTTATGAAAACTAGTTTAGAATCTGAGGTTTAATTTTTTAAATTGTCTTGGAGATAAATTTTGAATTTCTTATTCATAAATTATACTTCAATTTAAGGAAGGATTTCAATCCTTTTTTTGAATTATTTTTCTAAAACTATTCTTGATTATTATCAAATGTAAGTTTCTTTATATCTTATTTTTATAGTTACCTACATAAATAATACTTATAGGTTAAAAATTAAGTCTTCCAAAATCGAAATATATGAATGAGCTTGATAATATGAATAATGAAATGTGGTTAATTTGAATTGCATTAATATAACAGTTAATTAGCAAAATTAAAATAAACCCAGAATACTTTAAATATAAGTAATAATTTTATTCCTTCTTTTTAATCGAGTAGATAGATAGCTTTTCTTGTTTTATAATAAGCACTACTTTAGATTTGCTTGAAAATCAATTTCATTAGAAATTAAGAACCTTAAAGAATTAAACTAGAAAGGGTTTATTTTACTGAAAAATAATATTCTATATATTTCACTAAAAAAACATTATAATTGATTCCACCTTTTTTTAGCTAAGCCAAAAATATTAAATAAAAAACAGACCGTTATTAATGCAAGTAATAAGTTTTTAACAATAATTAAATAAAGCAGGATTATAATTTTCTTAATTATTAATAAATCACTGCTTTTACAATGAAAATAATAGAGGAACGAATAGTTATATAAAAGAATAATTTCTTTATAGCTTAAGATAAGTTCAATATAATCTTATCACTTTTATAAGTAGATCATTAATCTTCCTCCATTATTGCTTTCCTTATAATATCAATACATTTGTGTTCTGTTTCAAATGCATTAAAAATTGCTAGTGCCTTAGTTATATAGATTAAATTACATCTAAATATTGTGTAACTCCACTAAATGATTTAATGGAACTAGATTCAATGAGTTCGTCTAAAACTTCTTTTGCATCTTATGATTTGAATTTTTTTTCAGTACTTTATTTTTGATGTTTACCAATTTATGAGTAAATATAGTTTGCTAAATAAGCTGAGATATTTTTTAATAAGTTGGAATGATAATAGTCAAAAGCTTTTATAAGTTATTTTTCCTTAGAAATCAGCCCTTAAACTATTATAGTGATTTCAAATTTATCAAACTCTCTTAAACAAAGAATTTCTTTGACACATATTAAATACTGAGAATAGAGCCATCTATCAAAACATCCTTAGAAAAAAAAAAATAATCCTTTCAAAGGATGTTTATTCGTTTCAAACCAGCCCTTCAACCCTGTTTCTGCTAAATCAAGCATAGTTTATGCTTTTAAAATTTGGCTTAATTTTTGGTATGACTCGCATTAAATTAAATACATCATAGAAACATAAGGATGTAAGATGCTGGTATTTAATTTTAAAACTTTAGAATACCC